TAGTAATAAAAACAAATAAACGGTTTAATGATTTGAATAGTAATCATACGTATGACTGCCTTTCATAGCAATCAAAGGCCTGCCAACCGGAACAACACGATTGCCGTCCTTTAGGGTCGTAAGCGACTGGCGCTTCCCAACTGTATGTCATATTCCAGCGCCGGTAGGCATCGGTAACGCACGTCATAGTGATCGGGTACATTTTTTGAAAACATGCTACAACTATAGGGGGAGCATCGGGTAGATTTTGATGGCTCACACCAAATGACAGTACAATTATTATATACAAATAAACTACACTTTTGTTATACATTTTGTTTGACATTTAGTTTTTTACACAAATTATTGTTTTACACCAAAAACACAATAGAGTTTACATATGAATGACATACTTCAAAATATATTCATAGATATATTTCAAGCATTTTATATATTATATTTACACTAATTATTAAAAATATTATTTATTTTCCATAAATCATTATGATCAGATTAGATTACAACACATAGAATGTGTATTTATAAGCCTTTGTGAGTGAATTTGGTTATATTCAGGGTAAATTTTTTAGAATTGAGTCTATATTTGCAGGTTTTTAAAAATGTTTATTGATGTAAAAATGCATGTATTGTATATTATTAATAAATATAATATAATTTATATATGATATGAAATTACTAACTCATAAAAAATTGATAGTTTTGAACATAGAGTACAATATTTCGTAATAATTAAGTAATCAATACTATGAAACATTATTGATCATAAATTATATCATAAAATGTTCAATTGTTATAAATAATTATGAATTATATAATTTTCTAAACAAGGGTTTTATAATAAACAACAATAATTAAATATTGTGGCATATGTTATGGTTTTATCAGAACTTAATGGGAATTTACAAATGTGTTAAATTATGTAATTAAATAAAATAAAATATTAAAAGATTTAATAAAATCTATTATTATAGATAGTATGGTAACAGTTGACATTTATATTTTATAGTTAATAAACCCATACTGTAGAAACGGTAAATATTACAAATATTTTAAATTGAATTAACTTTTAGTTATTTTAATTAATTAATTAATTATTTTATTTTTAAAAATTATTGCAAATAAATTATGAGCCCAAAATTAACATCAAATAAGAAATCACATAATATTCATTTTGTTTCAGATACAATACAAGATTATTAATTTTAGGATATAAATCATTTACTTTGCAAATATCAAGTCCAATTACTATCAGTTTCTAGTTAATTTGCATTCTTTGGATTGATACGGGTACTTTTGGCAGTTCTCCTTCTCTTCGTCAGCAAACAGTGTCTTGATATATGTCTGAAAATGTGTCACTTCATCGGCACTACATTTAGCCTTCAATACAATTCATAATGAATATCACTTTTGAATCAATAATCAATATCTATATGAATACCTTTGCGGCGATCACCAGACAGTCCCCTTCCTCCCAAGCACTACAACAGGCGTTCTTAGACTTGGGATCAGTCTTATCGGTGATATTCCAATCTTTGATGGCCTGTTCCCCACAATTCTGTGTTTGGTCGTACATCTTCCCCATACAACTCACCACAAGCGGGTCGTCATCTGATGTGTCGATGTTTAGCGGCAATAGTGCCGAAACACTCGCACAGAATATGCCCATTATATACCACAGGAATTGCATTTTATTCAATAATATGTTTAATTAACTATATTTCCAGAAAGATATTTCTTATAAATAAATGCATGAGTATTTTAAATCACTTAGGACATCGTATCAGATAATATTTTAATATACGGTATATCTCAAATCCTATTCTTATGAGAAAATGCAATTCTGTTTTTATAGATATATTATATAATAGATTAAATATCATCCATAAAATAATGCATAAAAGGGTAATAACTTAGTAAGCAATATTTATTAATGCAAGTAGTGGTTTTTATATTATTTAATTTATTTTTTATTTATATCATATAAATAATATGAATAGTTTGCTAAAATTCTTTGTAGAATTCTATTATTTTCTTACATATTTATACTGTATTTTTATTTTTGATATTTTAAAAGTTATCAAGATTAGTATATCAGATAAAATATTTTTTAAATAAAACTGGCTTTAAGTGAAGTTCACAGGTGTTGATAATATTTTAGCGGAACATTGTACCTGTATATTAAATAATGTTGAAGTAGGTTAGTGAATACTAAATTAAAACATTTATTTTTAATCTTATAGATTAAATTCCAATCTTTGATGGCCTGTTCCCCACAATTCTGTGTTTGGTCGTACATCTTCCCCATACAACTCACCACAAGCGGGTCGTCATCTGATGTGTCGATGTTTAGCGGCAATAGTGCCGAAACACTCGCACAGAATATGCCGATTATATACCACAGGAATTGCATTTTATTCAATAATATGTTTAATTAACTATATTTCCAGAAAGATATTTCTTATAAATAAATGCGTGAGTATTTTAAATCAATTAGGACATTGCATCAGATAATATTTTAATATACGGTATATCTCAAATCCTATTCTTATGAGAAAATGCAATTCTGTTTTTATAGATATATTATATAATAGATTAAATATCATGCATAAAATAATGCATAAAAGTGTAATAACTTAGTAAGCAATATTTATTAATACAAGTAGTGATTTTTATATTATTTAATTTATTTTTTATTTATATCATATAAATAATATGAATAGTTTGCTAAAATTCTTTGTAGAATTCTATTATTTTCCTAGATATTTATACTGTATTTTTATTTTTGATATTTTAAAGTTATCAAGATAAGTATATCAGATAAAATATTTTTAAAATAAAACTGGCTTTAAGTGAAGTCCACAGGTGTTGATAATATTTTAGCGGAACATTGTACTTGTATATTAAATAATGTTGAAGTAGATTAGTGAATACTGAATTAAAACATTTATTTTTAATCTTATAGATTAATATTATTGATAATTAATATTAATAAATTTGATGTTTATTTATAAAAATATGGCTTTTGAAAACTCTTAAATTTATGAATATTTAAATCAAATTTATTTAATGATTGTGTATTAGGCATCTGAGCAAATATTTGCAACTATCCTGAAGTATTTAATGTCAAATTATGTCATCTATTATAATTGATTACTTTTATAATTGTATAATTTAGTAAATATAATTCAGATTTATAAAGAAAAATTATTGTAAACTAAAAATTAAATAGAAAATAATTTTATTTGAAAGCAATTGATCAATGTATTAATTATGAAGTCATTAATAATTTGCTTCATAATTATAATTAATGTAATATTAATTTGTGTTAACAGTTATGATATAGAATTGGAGCAGAGATTCTGTAATAAAACACTTTCCGACTCAAGAATCAATGAAATGGAAAAATGTGATACCTATATACCCAAGGAGGTTTTAATAATATAAAATCTATTCACATAAAAAACTTAAATATCTAATATTATTACAGATTATGGTCACAAGTAACATATGTCTAAAGGAAATGAATTTAAACACCACTTTTCGTGATTTTCTTTCCATATTCTGTGACAATAAACTAAGGACAAGGGTACAGTATTTAAATGATTGAATAATCTTGATAATTATTTTACTGATTAATATCTATTTGATTAGTATTTGAGATGTCATGAGAAAGGTATGAAAGTGTTTGAGGAAACAGTGACTGTGACTGAAATGACTGAACAACGGGTCGATATGTTTAGGAAACATGAGGTCAGAGATCATTGAGTTATTGAAATGAATAATAATTTCTTATCTTTTTTAGCTATGTATGCGAAAAGCGACGGATTTTCAAAATCAATAAAATTTTGATAATTACAACAAAATTCAATGAAAAATACAATTATATCATAAATGCAATGTTAATGTTTTATTGTTTTTGTGTTTAATATAAAGCTTTCAATAAAATCAAATAATATTACAATTTATAAGTGTTTTGGATTTAGATAAATAAAAGNATTGTTTTTGTGTTTAATATAAAGCTTTCAATAAAATCAAATAATATTACAATTTATAAGTGTTTTGGATTTAGATAAATAAAAGTGAAATAATGTTAGTATTTATTAGTTATTATATTTAATCGCAGTTCAATTGCTTTTACAAGTGTTTGCACTTAAATCTCAATCATTTAATTTATTACACAATTTTATAATTTAGTTTTAACAATTATATTCTGGTAATTTTATAATACTATAAAATTTATAAATAATTTTTAATACTGGACTTGCTTAAATAATTACAATGAACAATATTTAAGTGTGAAATTTACATAATTAAATAAACGTTGATTTTTTATACACAGAAAGTCTCTAATCATTCAAATCCTATGCTTGAAGGTATTTAATATAAAAGTAATTTCATATCAATTATTATTATTATAAGTGTTGATAAACTATTTGTCGTGTTTGATGAAATGAGATTTTAATTCAAAAGTTACATACTTTACACACAAATTTACAACTTAATTTATATGAATGTTAAAATATAATATCAATATAATTTATAATTTTTAAAAGTAAAACTTCAATATTAAATAAATATGAATTTGACAACATTTTCGTGTATTTATTTGATGTCGTGTTTTGCATCTAAAGAACCCATAGATCTCCCAAATTGTCCCCAATATTGCAAATGCTATTCAGCCCACGAAGGTATGAAATATAGAGTATGAAATACCATAAGAGTAACACCTTATCTAATTAATAGGTGGTTATGGGCCCAAGACTTCATACAGTGTATACTGTACACACGACACACCAACTATCCAGTATGATTTAACATCTGTAAAAGATTTACCCCTAAATACCGTGATATTAGAGAACTTTATATTTTCGATGGCATACAAAGACAAGTACTTCAAGAATATGTTTGTCAAGAATCTGGTGCTAAAAGTGTGTGTCTTTGACTACATAATGCTTGAGGACGACAGACTTCATTTGTTTGATGAGATCGACGCCTCATATCTGGAAGTACTGACCATTTTGTTCACAAAACTCACGCCACCATCTGATGAAAGGCCAGAGTTTGAATGGAAATTGTTTGCGAAGTTTGTGAACTTAAAGGCAATACATATAGAGAACGGACTGCTCGTCACCATTGACCACAAGTTTCGTGATTTGTCGGCAAATAATGTCATTTCAGTGACTTTAAAGCAAAATATTTTGAGTGATATTAATGAGCACTCTTTCGATGATCTCAAGTCATTGAAAATGTTGACAATCACTCAGAATTTGATTAAAGATCTCGACTTTTTGACCACCGATGGCATGGTTTGGGCTGATCTCTGGTTATTAGATGTCAGACAAAATTTAATACAAAGTTTTCCCCAACAATTAGTTGAAACACTACCGGCCCTTAAAGTACTCAAACTGGGACAAAATTATATTCGAGTTATTGATTCGCAAACTATTAGTATTTTGCTGAATAGGTGTCGAGAATTTCATTTTGATAAGTTGCCTGGTCAGTGATATTTGTGAATTAATTTATATTGACATAAAACTCATGTATTTTATACACAGGACCTGAGGATAGGAGTGGAGGACACCCGGAGTCGGCTCTGTATTTCAACGCCACTCAAGACATGCAATGGATTCCCAAATATTATCATTCAGACATCCCGTTCCAGAAAAGTCCGTATTTTTTCTACGAGTCATTAAAGAAGATGAATTGTCGCACCAATGACCTGACCATGCCAAATGTGACATGCTACAATCTTGACTCCAACCAGTATGACTACTGTCCGAATAGGGGATGCCAGACAACCACCACTACCACCACCACTGCATCAACACTACCAGTCATCGGATCCGAGTCCACTCAACACCAATCGTCCAATCCTTCGTCGACAACAACTTCACCCATGTCTTCGCCATCAACTCATAGTCACACGAGTGCTGTCACTACAGAAACCCCGACCACAACGGAGCTCACATCCCGATCCACTGACACCACAAAACCTACTCCTGTAGTGCATCCCACGACACATCCATATACTCGGACAACAAAGTCCTCCGAATGGGATTATATCAGTCGACTCATTAAAGTCTGTAAATATTACGACAATAAAGATGTTGACATGATATGTGTTGAGCCATAAGTGTTTCATGTTTAAACTAAAATGTTGCGTGAACATTTTCATTGCGATCAAATATTTACTTATAAACTATACTATAAATCATAAATTATTTAATGTACTATTATGTCACCTATAAATTATTGTATATTGTAAGTTAGTTTAAATTGTTAAATAATAATTTAAATAAATATTTGGGTGTGAATATTAGAAAATTTTAAAAATATGTATTGGTTTATAGATATTGTGTCTAGTTAAGTTAATTGTAACCCTCCGATTATTTGAAATAAGTTTAATACATAATTATAATAATAATAATAATAATAATAAATAATTAAATTATAGTTAAGAAATTATTTTGCAAATAACTAAAATATAAATTTTTATTATAAATATATACTTGTTGTCAAATTCTATGAATTGTTTGTTTATTATCAATGAAAAATCTAATAAGTTATATTTATGAGTGGTTTTGCCTTAAGACAATTAAATAGTGACAAAGTGTTAGTATTTATATGTTTTATCACATTCACAAGTCTTTGCAAGTGGTGTGCACTCTAATATTAATCAGATTTCTACGAAATTGTTGCAATTAAAAATTAATTTCAATTTATATTATCTAGCATACGAAATTATTCTTATACGCAATGAAATGTTGTTTACAAATTTTTATTACAATTAACCAATATTTTTTATTGCAACCAATAAAAATAGTTTAAATTTAAACTGATTGAATTAGTGCCTATAAATCATTTAAATCTTATAATATTTATAACTTATAACTTATAGCTTACTGTATTTCTGATCTGTTTTATAACGTTTCTAAGTAGTGATAAGTGATAGGCTTCCCTTGAAGTTAAAAAACAATATCATAATTATTACATAAAGTCCTAAAAACATAGATTGATTATGATTTGTAGCAATTAAAATAAAAATTTTTATTAAACAATTAATTTATTTGATTTAACAAATCCATGGATTGGGGACCATTTACGTGTGTTTATCTCATATCATGTTTTGCATCCAAAGAGCCACTCGATTATTATGATTATCCCAATTGTCCACAACATTGCACTTGTTATTCAGCTCTCGAAGGTATAGTTTATCTATTTATTAGCATTTTGTTATTGAAATTGACCATTATTAAAGTGAATTTAATTATGGATACTGTAACCTCAAATAATAGCAGGGTATAAACCTTCGCGGTCGTATAGTGTGGTATGTGGTGAAGGGGTGGCCGCTTCTAACGAGTATAAAATCTTGCAAATGGCAGATACATTGCTTAACACCGTATATGTGGAGCACCTGACACTCCAACTTGAATTTCGAGACAGGTCATTCAAGGGGAACTCCATCAAGAATTTAGTGCTAAATGGATGTGACTTTCTATACGTGATGTCAGGGGAAAAGGATGAAAGGGTCACGATATTTGATGGCATCGATGCCTTATACCTCGAGGTCTTAACGTTAATCAATGAAAACTTTTGTCCCACAAGTGATGAGTTTGAATGGAAAATATTCAGTAAATTTATCAATTTAAAGGTTATTCACATAGAAGGGGGTAATCTATGTCAAATTGGACACCATTTTCGTGACTTGTCCTCAAATAATGTCATTTCATTGACTATTAAACAAAATAATCTAAATATTATTGAATCAAATTCTTTCAATGAATTCAAAAGTTTACAAATGTTAATAATTAATACAAACTTAATACAAGATTTAATATTTTTGACGAGTAATCAGTGGTCAAACCTGTGGTACTTAGACCTCAGGGATAATCAATTACAAGCCTTTCCATCGGAATTAGTCGATGCCTTACCAGCGATTAAAGTGTTAAAATTGGGTCAAAATAAGATCCGCACAATTGATTCAAATATAATCAATACTCTACTCGTAAAATGTCGAGAATTTTCATTTGACAAAATCCCGGGTCAGTTAATATTTTTATTTTATTTAAATTATATTCACAATAATTATCATTTTGATGGCATTATGTTTGGGTGCAGAGCCGGGAGACACCAGTAGTGTATCGAAAGACGACTATTTTGAGGCCCGACCCGACATGTGTTGGTCACGAAGTTTCTTCGATACCCCTCAAGACATACCGTATTTTTTCTACGAGTCCTTGAAACAAGTCAAGTGTAAGACTGGTAGTGAACCCCCGATTCAGTATTGCGCTAATCTCGACAAATCTAAATTTATTTATCAAGCTCCAAAGAAATTATGAAAGGTCTTGCTAGAAGTTATAAATTGATACCAAATTAAATTTTAAAAACTAGTTAGATAAAGTTGAAATATATTTTGAAATATTCTTTATGTTTTAGTCAATTTTAACTATTACACATATGATAGGCTTTCTGTAAGAAAAAGCTATCTCTAAATACAAATATATGAATAATATGAGTAAACTAAATAAGGTTTAAATATAACTCATCAAATTATTCATATATTTGTATTTAGAGATAGCTTTTTCTTACAGAAAGCCTATCATATACTGGATTTTTTTATTAAAAGGATTTAGTTATGATTTTAGTTTTTATGACATATGTTTTTTCTCATAACTTTTTTATATTATCTCAAAGATTTTAAAACATAAGCATATCGTGAGTAATCAGAATGTGTTTCACAAACATTGCTGTATATAAACTTCTGTAAATAAATATAAATGATATTTTAATGTACCGTAGTATTAATGCGATCAGTTACAAATTAACATGCAACTTATAATACTATTAAGTTGTTTGGTTTCGTGTTTGTATGCATTGAATGTTGAGAAAAATGAGTTCATAGACAAGACATCGAAAGTGAAGGATTTTGCTGAACACCAATGGTTTGTGAGGAATATTCCGTTTATTGAGATTCCGGACAAACATATAGAAGACGTGTATTACTATCGGTGGTCATCACTGAAGAGACACTTGCGATACACCATCACTGGTACGGGTTATATGATCACNAAGTATGATTATAATTTAATTATCTTAAGCAAAATATACTGTACTTATTTTAGTTTTATTAGTACAGTATTTGTGAATATTAATTTTATTTTATATAATAATCAGGGAATTATTGTCAAGTATTTAATGTAGCACAGATAAGTGAGATATTTTTTCTCATAATTATAAGTTATAATTTATAAGTAATATAATAAGCACTCTTTCGATCTAATGATCTAATTATATAATATATTAATAACATAATATGGATTCAAATAAAAAATAACTATAATTATATTAATTCAAATATTGGTTATAAGGGCATAATTAAATTTTTAGTTATCTAAATTTTGTCAATTTACCGCTAAGTGAAAATATTTACCATAACATAATATGGATTCAAATAAAAAATAACTATAATTATATTAATTCAAATATTGGTTATAAGGGCATAATTAAATTTTTAGTTATCTAAATTTTGTCAATTTACCGCTAAGTGAAAATATTTACCGTTAAAACTTAAATAAAATTTAATGTCAAGTATTTTCAAGTATTTTTGAGTTAACTTTCAAGTATTCAAGTTTTTGGATCTGGTCACTCTAGGTATACCTTTGTTTTATAATGTTTTTAAAAATTAAGACAAACCTTTGCATATGAAAGAAGAATTGTCTGTTTGTGTCCCAAAGATATTTAATTATATTTTCTCGCAATTCCTTGGCTTTAGTTATGAACTCATTCTCAATGTCTTTATTTCCCTTCATTTGTGCTATTTTTATGATGGCCTCTGCGTTGCCATACATTTCCGAGTTATGACTCGGCCTATAACCCAGTCCCCCGTGATAATGATCCTTGGTTTGCATGGATGCCGCAGAATATTCCTGTGCATCCCATTCAGGAGTTATGTGATAGAGACCCAGCTTAGGCTCGAAATGGTCGACCCAATCGTTGTATATCTTCACAAAGCCATCCAATTGTGAGACAATAAACTCTTTGTCTCCGTTAACCAAATATGTATTGTAAGCCGAGTCTGCGATCCATTCAGAGTACTGATGATTACCTCCAGTTTCTAGTCCACGAGCAAAGAAATTAATATAATCCTAGTTCAAGAAAAATATTAAATTTTCAAACGATATTTTTATTTTAATTATGGAAAATATAGACAATGTTACAATACTTTGGCATATCTGGTATCCCTGAGCCAACGAGCCTCATATATCTGGTGTCCACCGGCGGCGTTGATTACACCAAACTTGT